AGAGAGAGAGAGAGAGAGAGAGAGAGAGAGAGAGAGAGAGAGAGTCGCACACAACAGTGAGTAAAACAGACACACACCATGTGCTGCCGCGGCTGCAAATGTGCGGGGTCTTATCCACCTGTCCCCATCCCAACTCTTTGTGAACTGGTCCAAGCGCACACGAGCAAATCGTCCAGCAGAGTGGCCACATGAGAGGGACTACCATGCGCGATGGCCAAAGCTTGTACCACTCTGGTCTGATCAGGGAACACATGAATGTCACCCGTGGGAAAACATGTATGCAGGAAACCACTCCGAGACAACAGTCCGGAAATGATGATTGGTGGAGGCAAGGGGGGAGCGAAACGAGACGACGAAACCAGCGGGAACAGCAGAAAATGCAACGTACATGGCTACGATAAAAGCAAACAGTGTCAACTTCAGCAGAGTCAACAGCAGTAGAGCAAGGTGTTTCGTTCACCTGTCGATCACCTCGCAGACAGCCACTATCACAGGGTTTTGTCCGCCCACCCTCTCAGCATTTGGCCAGTGCCCGCTGCAAGTGCCCCCCCGCCCTCCCGCGTAACCGAGCGAGACGGAGAGCTGGTTGGCCATGTATATCCCGCTGCCCATGGCAGCCCCGGTAGACATCCATCTCGAACCTGGTTGCAGTAACAGCAACAACAACACAAAAGATAGGTGATGTGAACAAAACTGCAATCGGGGACATGCGTATGCGCGCAAGGTCTCATTCTCGACGACGCAAACGCTCACCAAACAGGTGCTCCCCTCCCAACACGATTGAAATGAGTGTTTTCCTATGCAGATCTCGAAAGTCGCTCTCGTCCCCCGAAAACGTCAGGGGTATGTTTTCAACCTATCGTGCCCGTGAGACTGTCAAATTGAGGCCTTCCGGTTAGAACCAGCTCAGGTAGCCTTCGGTGCCAGATTGACAAAACGAAACATGTTGCATCATTTGCATCCAGACTACTCCCCCCTCTTCTTCCAACCTCACGGCCTTCTTGAATCCTGCGACCTTGGTCTGTGGAGCTAGGTATGAAAGACCGCCCGACAGAAAGCTGAACACACGATTGGGTGTGGCCACTCATGTCGTGGAAACTGCCGGCGGCTAACCGGACTTCGAGTTCTCCCACATACCGGACATGTTCTTGAGGCCCTCCTGGAGGATACCGTGCCAGTTGCCTGGGCCGCTGCCGTGGAAGGCGTAGAACGATCCCGTCCCCGTTCCCCCCCTGGACAAGAGTGCCGCCTCCCGCTTCAACGCCTGGAACCTAGCTTCTCGCTCGGCGGTACCTGCGAATAAAGGAGGGACAACAGCATAAACAAACCATGTGCTCGTAGAAGCCCCCGAAGCGCCAACTGGTGCCACAGTAGTTTCGGCAGTACATTCGTACCTCATGTTTGGAATGATAACAACAACACCAACACCAACAACACCAACAACAACAACAACAACAACAATAACAACAACAACGACAAATTGAGACACCACAGGGACAAATGTGAACGTATTCCATCATGAGAGAAATTGTGTCAAACCTTCCCCCAAGTGAAAATGGCAGTACAAGCAGCGGCTGCCACGACGAACCGTGTCACATCAAAGAAGGAATCGTTCGAGTCGAGGGCACTTGTCTACTATCGTTTGTGGTGCAAGGCTTGTCGCTGGTGCTGATTCTGTCGTGTAGCAAACATACAAAAACAAGGCGGCCTCCCCCCCCTCCACAAGGCGTGAGCAATAATCCTGTCATCAGCACCAAAAGCATATCACGGACCAATCAAGGAAAGGCACAGATTCTCTGTAGTCCTCTCTGGAGTCCATCGTTTGCCTCGAGAGAAAAATCTAGCTTTGGATTTGTTCATTTCTTTTTTCGGGTCATCACGGACCCATTGCCATCGCCGTCGAAACCTTCGGGTTGCTTTCGCTACGACCAGGCCAGTCAGGATTTTCTCGGAAACGTCGTTGTGGACTTCACTATAAGGAAAGAAATTATCGTGTCCATCATGACGACAAAGACATGCCCCGGTCGCGTGCTACATGTGTTGATATTTACTGAATTCTCGCAAGCGAAAGCGAGAGAATGCGATGGAGGTCTGAACTTTGATTGAAACTCACCGGTCACGAGCGTAAACTGCTTTTGGCATGGGATCTCCGGGATAAGCTCCCATTCCCGCAAAGGCCGCAAGTGGGCACGGTTTCTGGGCATGAAGGTGGACACCAAGCAAGACCAAGTTGCCGTAGTTGAAACAATGGTGCGGTCAAAACGACGGAGCAGGTGATCAGTCGCAACCACCAAAAGCCAGGCGTCGACAGAGGCAGTGTTCAAAACGTAAACCAGTCAGTCACAGCAAACAGCCGTGACGTTGACAACGACGGCGACGATGACAACAACAGCAGCAGCAGCGGCAGTAGCAGCATTAGCAAAATTAACGACAACAACAACAATCGCATAATACACCTCTCTACAGACGAAAATGACGCTCTCCCACACTCACGCCGACAGCAGCCACCGCAACAGTCGATACGCGAGCGGGTTCCTCTCTGTCAGCGCCTTCTCTAGCGACAACATCCCCGACCCGTCGGTGGCGTCGTGCCCCTCCCCCCCTTGCCTTACCCCCCCCCCAAAACAACTATCGCCGCCGACAGCAGCAGCAGCACCGAACCTCGCAGCATCGGGGACATCGCCCCCCACCGCCACCGCCCGGGCGGCGGCGGTAGCGGCCGCCTGCGCTGCGTTTGCCGCGTAGGCGGTGGCGTTAGCGCTCTGCGCGGCGTCCGTCGTGGCGCGGGCCCGAGCGGCCGTTGCCTCGGCGGCGGTGCTGGCCGCGCCGGCGCAGCGTTTGGCACTAGCTTCCGCCCGAGCTGCGGCGGCGTCGCTGGCGGCCGCTCGCGCTGCCGCGGCCTCGGCAGCCGCGGCCGCGTTGTCGGCGGCGATGGCGATGGCGGCGGCGTTGGCGGAGGCGTTGGCCACGGTGGCGGCTCTCCGCTGCCGCGCTTCTTCGTCTTCGAGGAGGGGAGGGGCCGGCGTTGCGGATGCCATCGTCGTTTCCCCAGCCTGGGGGTCGTCGTCTTCTCGTTCCTCTCCTTCTCCCCGCTTACGCTTGATGCACCGCTGCATGTCCGCCACGGTCGGCAGCGCCCTCAGGACTTGCTGCACCTGCACATCGCCGTTGCAAGGAGCCAAGCCGACAAGTACACGCAAGTGTCACTGAGCCTAACCTGAGCGCCATACTCCCGTGTGCGTTTGCAATTGGGCCTTTGCACTAATCAGACAAACCGCTACATGAGCCCCGCTTCCCCCCTTCGCTACTTTTCGCATGCATTTCCCGGAGCCCCACCTTGTCCACATCGTTGCGCCCGCTGGGGTCCTTGAATACCAGGTCGGTGCCGCTTTGCACCTACGATAGCGAACACGAGTGGGAAACAGCAACCCAAACAGACGAAGAGAAGGAAGTCATGCTATGCATGATTGGTTCTTCGAAACGACCGTGGCAGAGTGGCTAACCCCACGAATCGCCGGCAGTTTCGTCGTTCTCCACCCTTCACGCGATACACCATCTCCGGAAGGAGGTCACGTTAACCCAAATCCCTTGTCCGGTCGGACAGAGCTGACGGTGATGGTCCAAATTCTGCTCTAACCGTCACGGGGGCAGAAGCTGTCGTCCATCTCGTGCGAAAGGATCGTGTCTACGAAACAACAAAAAAAAACACAACGGCAACAGCTATCCCACTACTGCAGAAACTGCAACTTCCACTAAACTCCACCCGCAACAACAACAACAACGAAATCTCATACTTCTACAACAACTACTGCTGCAAACGACAACAACCACCACGACGAATAGAAGAGACACTGCTGATTGCTCACGGTGGCCGGGAAGGCAAGTTCCGAGCGACCGCTGTGCATGGCCATCCAGAAGAGGTCGATCAGCAGGTCCACCGTCTCCCCTTTCCTCAACACCTGACAATTCAGTGTCATAAATTCAAACCGCGCGTGCCGATCTTGTGGTGTTTCTCGTACACCGTGGTTGGCGGCTGTCATGCTGGCGTTTGGGACTTCCCTTATACATATCCATTTATATATACATAACCCACACTAGGTTCGTCTCGTGCATCATCAAAAAGCGCGAAGAACGGTCGCAGAAGGCCAAATCAAGCTAACACCTACCTGATAAAGACATACGCTACAAATGTACGTGTGCGGAAAGCATGTTACGCCAAACGCTTGAATACCTGCGACTCAACGTCTGTTCCGCACCCCATTTGCTCGGACCTCCACCGGCAGAACTCCTGTCGCGCGCCGTGGATGCGTCGTTCACATGGTTGCCAAACGGGAACGAGTGAAAGCGCCCGCGGCGTGTAGCGCACGGGCGTGCGTGCTAGATGGATGGCGAAAGTGAGCTAGCGCAGGAGAAAAAGATGGGCATACCAGCAAAACAAAAACAAATCCGAGGCTTGAACAAAGTTTAGGGCGAGGCCCCTGGAGAAAGGCGTGCGTTATCCCAGAAGGGCAATCGTGTTCTCCCAGCACGCGTGGAGAAGGAAAATCGACAAGCACGGGGGACTACTGTTGCCCCGCCGCCACCTCCACCGCCGCCGCCCCCCTGGTAGGGGCGTCCGATCACTTCAGCACACAACCACTTCATCAGGAAGGAAAACATGGACATTTGGTAGCCGCCTCCATCATCACTGCCCATCACTCCCCCCCTGTTCACAGTGTCGAATACCCGGCAAAAGGAGGAATGAAACGACCAAATAACAGCGCCATGAATATAGAAAGCGGGCGACAGAGGAGATGAATGATACCTTAGGGCAGACGATGGGCACGGCCGGGAGGAAGCCCTCTATCGGCTCGTCGCAGACCAGGCAGTCCTTGTTCGCGTTGCGGAGTTTCTTCATTATCGTCAGTGCTGCGCGTGCCTGCTCCCGCCCGCGATAAAGCAGACCCAACCGCGGCAGGGATTTCAACGTTGTTGGAAGGGAGGGGGGGGTAGATCCATCAGCGATCGGACGGAGCGGAATAGGTCGGAAAAGTCGGGAAAGGACTTCAGAACATTTCAAGGAAAAACCAGCTTCCCCGGAACTGTCAACAACACCTTCGGCGGCAAAAAGCAAACCGCTTTACAGACGACACCCAAGCCCCACACGAACGACGCGCGTGCACCAAAGGGTTCGCCTCTGCAAGCTGCCCCAGCTTGACCATCCTCGCGTCCAAGTCCTCTCGCTCCTCAGATCGGCGGACGGAGTTGCTCCGCAGCCCCTCCGACCTAGGATGGGCAGCAACGGCGTCGAGCAGAAGCGCCTGGCGAACGGATAGGGTCGGCGGAGGCGGTGGTTGCTAGAGATGAAAGAGAGCCGCCGTCCCCGGTGTCGCTTCATTCAATGAGTGCGCTAGGAAGCTAAGACGATCAGCGACGGGACCCAGATATGCTTGTCGATTCGCGCCGGCATCGTTCCGTCCGGCCCCCCCTTCCCGCCCCGCCGGCATTGCAGGGATGCGAGGTCTAACGACTACGACACACGCTACATTAGTACACCCGCCGGATAAGGAAACTAGAACGACGAAATAGAGTCGAACAAAGAGAAGAAGGCCCACCTCATCCGCGAACGGGTACTTGTCCTTCAGACGCTGAAATTTTCCGAAGGCTTTCTCCAGCGAGGATCGCAGCCCATCGTCCTGAAGGGTCAGGTGTGCCCGGTGCTCGTCGTACTGCAACAACGGGAGGTTACCAAGTCGTGGGTAGGAAGGTAGGTGGGAACTGCATGGCAGCGGAGGAGAAGTGTTGATCGACAGTGATGACATGCAGTCGTATGCCTAGTTAACATTGCCCTACAGGGTCTCCATTTCCTTGAGCTATTGCTTTGGCAGCAATCCTGCGGTTACCATCCACGATGAGCTACACCGAACTGCGGTCGACACCGTATGTACCACCGCCTCAACGCCAACACGACGACAATCCTCTCCAAACCACAAACCTTGGAGACCATGAGCGTGTAGGCAACAAGCTCTCTCGACGCGCCGGTGGTCTCGCAGATCGACTCGATCGCCCACTGGACCGCCGAGCTGTCAGGCTCAGCCGCCGCCTCCCCCCCGCTCCCCCCTGACGACGGCGCTGCTCCGTGCCCGTCGGCCCCTGCTGCTGTCGCCGCCGCTGCCACCGCCGCCGCTGCACCATCGCCTACGCCGCCGGCTGAACCACCATCACCATCTTCGGCGACCCCGGCCCGAACGCTAGATCCGTTACCGTTGCCGCCGCCGTCCCGAAGTTGATCGGAAATTTCGCGCCTAACCCTGGTCCTGTCCGCCGCGCGGTGCCACATGCCCGTCAGGTCTTCGTCCAGCTTCTGGCAGAGGGTTCCCTGGAGGGGGAAGATCTCGCCGATCCTGTTTTTTTTTTTTCCACAGCCGGCGGGCGTGAGGGTGTGTGTATGTGTGTTTTCGTCCTATTTATTTTGGCGACAGTCCCCCCATTTTTCGTGGTGAGACGTGTACTACCCCTATCAGCGTATGTAGAGTACTACACTTTTCAGTGTATTTTTTCGTACAACTGCAACCATCCAGGGTCACACAGGGGCTTTTTTTCTTCTTTTTATTTCTTTTCATGCCCCACCGTCCTCCTGCGGTGCGTGCTGATTTTTTTTTTTTATCGCGAGAAGGCTCCAGCCGTCCCTTTCCCTCGTCAACGGTGCCAACGTCGAAGTTTGGTACTCACGAGAGTTTGTCAGCTATATTTCGCTTTCACCCGCAAATTTCGTAATTTTTTCACCCCATGGGGATTCGAACGCACGACCTCTACCACTAGCGGATTACGAGGATACCACTAGACCACCGGGGCGACCGTAGGGGAGGGGGTATGCTCATGTCGAACGCATGCCGCAGTCGTTACAGCCATTGACCTCGCACCCCGGGACGGAGCGATATGCCGGGTTTCGCCCACCCAGGCCACGTTTCGCAAGGATCGACCAGAAGCTGGTCATCATCCTCGCATTTAGCTGCCCGAAGCCGGGCGTGAAGGTAGAGGGGGGGGTGCATACGAAACGCTTCTTTGGAAACCCCGGGGGGCGAATTGCGGCCGTTTCGTCGGGCGATTGAACATTTCTGATTGCCGTCAAGCCTGTGCTATGGGATTTGGTGGTGGTGTGAGCGGGCTTGACCTCGGTACAGCAGCCCCGTATGGGAGGTCTCCGTCTAGAGAGGCGGGCACGAGCGGTAGGCACTAACTGTGACGGACGGTGAAACATGAGGATGACGGCCGCAGTAGTACAGATGGAAAAATGTGAGACGCAACCAATATATCGCATGCCGTTAGTTTCTGGTGAAGCTACAGCCACAGCCGACTGTTATTCTTTGCCAGAGCCTGGACCGAAACTTCGCATCTCCTGCAGTTTCAACCGCGCGTTTGGACACGTACGAACTTCGCAAACCTTTCTCCGAATCGAAAACCCAACATTAGATTACGTTTCACCGCATCAACGCGCGGCCGATACACGAGGTATATGGACGAATAGGCACTGTCGCGCAGGGCAGACACAGCTTCATTGTTTGCTCGTCGACCGTGAATCTGAGTCTCAGCCATGCGCATTGCTGATTGCCATTAAGAAGTTGCCACACCATCGGGGGAGGGGGGGGGAGGATATCCTCGATAATTCATACCACCATCCCCTAACAGCAGTTAGCTTACCTCCCTTCAGGGCAAAGGTCGTCCGCTTTGCTCTTGACGGGGTCCACCTGCCTCGCCCACTGCACCTTCGGTCGCCTGCACCCGGTGTAATCTTGGTCTGTCGTGAACATAACCTGCACAAACAATACCACATAAAGTCCACAAACAGCAAGGACGGCGCCGAGCGCAGGCACCACGACGAAAGAGATCGGCGGCGCTGTTCTAGAGGCTCGGGACGTGACCAAGGCTATGGAAAACGCCTTTGTGTTTGTGCTTTTTTGCACGATATAGGTTGAGGAAGAAGCCTTTCTCTACTGTTTTCGTCAAATACGTGCATAATTGAAACGACGCTCGGTGCTCTCTCGTCAAGTGCGCGCTACACAAGCGCGTTTGATGCGTCGTTTTGGCATCGTCGGCCAACCCCGACAACCGTCGGCCTACCCCGACCAAACGAAGAGAGCAAAACACGCAGCAACAGACATTCTCGGGAGACATAATCGCGCGACACCCCCTGCTTTATTGTGGGCAACAATGGCGCTGATCACTCAACGGACGACGAAATAATCGACAAAACAAGGCAACAACAACATCATACGAAGCTCTACGCCATTGGACTCGACACACGAAACAACAAGAGCGCAGCATCATAAGGAGTTCTATGCATACGACATTAGAAAAGCCACACGAGCGCCGCACACGCACGCACCATGACGTCCTTAGAGGGGTCCAGGCCGAGGGCCTCCACGGCCCTCGTGGCGAGGCCCTCGAACAGCCTCGAGTGCTCCACGCACACCCAGAGGCGGATGAGGGTGGGCGTGTGGGCCTCCACCTTGGCGAACATGCCTTCCACGTCCACGTTCAGGGCGTCGGCGTCGGCCTTGGCGAGGTCCTGTCAGGCGTTGTTTCGCCCGGGGGTGAGCGAGCGGGTCGTTGGGGGACGGAGTGGACTGAGTGCTTCGCTCGGCTGTGGGACGCCGTGTGCTGCTTGATGTTCTGCTTTGATGAATACTTTTTTTTTGCGTTCGAAACGTTGCAGCATACCCGCAGAGAAAACCACCACACGACCGGAAATGGAACGGAATGCATGCATTACTGGACAACCGTACAGGGAAGTCTCCCATTCTATCCGTCTTGGCTTTCCACATGGAGCCGGGACGGGCAACCGTCGACTATTGCCGACCACGGAGACCTCCCACAAGCCACACTAGGGAAAGAGGGGGCGGCAATGATGTGCTAGATGCCATGCTGTCCTGCACATAGTAGTGCGCAAGGGTAGGAAATGGTCGCTACAATGATACTCCGAGAGCCGACTGGATCGGGTGTTTCGGAGCGCAAGCTACTCTTGTTATAATACATAACGATATAAATGCTCCGCCAGAATTCTTTGAAAGGCGAATGGCCCGTGGTGGCCTACCGATGCATACACCACCAAAACATTCCTGGCAAATGCACGTTGAGAGGAGCGGCATAGAACCCACGGGACGCGAAACGAAGGAACCAAACGCGGAAAATTCCGCACGCAGGCGTACCATTCCCTTTGTCGAGCTCCCGACCTCGCCGTCGGACTGTCCCTCCTCCCAGGCGTACTCGGAGTCGTAGTCCGAAGCCTCCTCCTCCTGCTGCTCCATGTCGTCGTCTGGCATGCTGCCGTTACTGTTGCCGTCGCCGTTGTAGGGCTCATCGTCGGATATCATGGTCAAAAAAGTTGCGGTAGTGGTGGTGGTGGTCTCCGTGCCGAAACCTTTGTTGCACTCTCGCTACTGGTGGCGCGTCACGTAGCGCCTCTTGGTAGTCGGTGCTGATGCGGATGCCAACGCTGCCGTTGGATGTCGTGGAAAAGTTGATCTGATCTTCTGTCTTAGTCCTCGCCGCGAGGTTGTACCTGGCACCTGTTGCCATGGGACGGTAGAAAATATGGTAAGTAATGGAACTCTGAAGTCCATTGTGCTCCAAGTATTGAAAATGCCACTGTGGTATTGTGGCCGTCTCCGAAAGTCCCAGCGATTGAGCGACGCAGGTCGGACCAAAGCCCACTTACCACACCGGGTGCAGCAGGAACACAGCAAAGCATCACCGGCCTTTCGCTAAGGTTTGAACGTTGTGATTCGGGTTGATCTCGATAGAATGTACAATCATGCCAACAAACTGTCCCGCCGTCAGCTCGTCTCCGACAAGCCGTCCGTGGGGAAGTGCGTACACATAGTAGACTATATATTTCGCACCCTGCTCACCGATTAGTGGTGTGTGTTGAGAAAAACTACAAGGTTTGCAATGAGAATAACCCATGGACTTTTTGTAGAGCATGTTGCTTCCACCTCACATAAGATACCAGGCAAAACGACCAACCTAAGCTGAACCCCCCACACTGGTGATTTCAGGTGCCTCCCCCAGCGGCAACCCACCCGCTCCACCTCGGCTCAAATCGAAACGGGAACCTGTGCCGCTGGTGCTTAGACATGTGTAGTCTACTGCTGTAGGTCATGTACAACCGGGGGGTATGTGATTTGCGCGGGTTTTCACGGGCGCTTGTCGCGTGTGTGCCGACACACCCACTTTTTCTTCATGGTTCTGTGGCCGTGTCGGCTTACTGTGTCTCAGGTGTGTCTAGGTGTCTGATGGGTTGCCGAGGAAGCCGGTGGGCACTGCTCAGAATATGGCGATGTGTACGCATACATGTCACTGTCTTCCGTTATTGATATTGTCGGAACCATCAACTTGTACTCTGTAGTGGTAGACATTACGCAAACTGCTGCTATGCGCTCGTCGCGTGTTTGCCGACACACTTTTTCTTCATGGTTCTGCGTCCTTACCGGCTGGCTGTGTCTCTGGTGTGTGTGGGTGTCTGACGGGTTGCCGAGGAGGCCGGTGGGCACTGCTGAGAATACCGCCGTGTGAGCATCTCGCTGTCTTCGGTATCGATGCTGTCTAAACCATCAACATCTAGACTACTCTGTGGTGGCTCTGTGGTGGTAGACATAACGCAAACTGCCGTTATGTCCAGTCTGCGTAAGGTACCTCATTTTGATCAAAACATCACTCGGCATGGCTTTTCTCAGCGGTGTGACTCCAACTGATGGGGTCCGGCAAGTATACCGCGAGGTTTAACACATGCCCTAGCGGGATAAACCGGATGACAGACCTATACACAACATATTTGACGCGATTGCCTTCATTGTCCAGCAGTACAGATGGCGCCCGCACTTAAGAACCTCTAGTTTCGGTCGAGGCTGGGGTTCTTATTTTGATCCCTCTTGTGGGCTACAAATGGCCGCTATATAGGTTTTAGCCTGGGGTCCTTAACCGAGCTCACAAATGGTGCTCAAATTCTTAGCTTCTGATTTTTTGCGACTCTCAATTTCAAAACTGCTAAGTTCTTAAGTGCGGGCGTTATCTGTACAAGTATGCTATCTTTGCATGGAGAAGTCCGATCGGGGGGTACGCAGAAGGATTCTACAGCTGAAAATGTGTTCGACTCAATCAGAATAAAGAGTAAGGACAACCGAAACAGTGTGGTCCCCGTCCTTGAAAATGAGCATGAATGCACACGATGATGACAGCAACTTTTATTTCCGTAGTCGTATGCATAGGAAGCCTCCCACATCATTTCGGTTGCTACCTTCTATGCAACTTTATGTACCAGCACAGCAATGTGACGTGATCGGTCCGGGCTGCTGCAGGAAAGGTTCCTCCGCACAGGGTTCTAGCATACAATATTTTCAACACATGATGTGTACGATGTGATGGTTCAATCAGGACTCCCTACGGCATGCGCGGATCGCGCGGGATGCACAAGCAAGCGTGGTGGAGGGAGACCATGGGCGGTCCTCCACGTTTGCTACATGCCCAGGTAAGGAGGACGCTCACCCTGACCGATGCGAGTCCCGGCCGGCAGGACGGCTTTTCCGCTTTTCCGCTTTCCGCAGGACCCTGTGTCTCGACAACTGCTGTCGCCCTATCTCGCCGCAGAGAGAGTGCCGAGGGCAGATATCCTCCTCGCTGTCCGCTTGTGCAGTCGATGGCCCCAGCAGCGCTTCCTCCTACAGACAGGCACAGACGACCCAACTTGGCGGAGATGGTAGTGTGTGTTTCTTTGTTATTAGCATCTACCGCGCTAACCAACCGGCTGACCAATGAAAATATGTCAGTCTTTGTGTGCTGCTGTCCTCTCGCCCTCACGCACCGTATTCCTGTTCGGAGAAACTTCGAGGATTGGCCGTCAGAACAGTCCCGGCCCAAAGGTCTCCATGGAGTACACGTCAGTGGGTCTACGTTTTTTTTTGTTTATTCATCCCCGGATAACGAACATGTCATGTCATGTGTTATATGTTGGTGTGGTTGTGTACACATGTGTGGGTAAGTTGTGACTCGTGGGGGATGGGCGCGTGGAAGGCACAGCCCAACTGGGTAAAATAGCATGGTGGTTTACAGGTGAGACCATCTCTGCAAGATACGGGCGGAACTGTAAACCTGTGCCGTTTGATATTCAGCAGTATTCCATTTTTTCAGGGCGCTGCGAAGTTGTACCGATTCTCAGGTCGAAGAAGTAAATCGACGGATACCCTGCGAATCGGGTCCTCCTCAACACTCTCCACCCTATTGCTAGATTTTGGGATTAGCAACTCTGACACGAGTTGAATGTGAAGACAACAACAACAACAACAGCAATCCACAGATTTACCCTCAACTGGGAACCTCTTATGGCCAGGACGGGTAATTCGATGGAAGTGTCACCAAGGTTCGTTGTAGGATCGACTCAAAAGAGGTGATCTCAGGACTGATTCACATTTGTTCATTCATGGGGAAAATGTCCAAGTCAGGAGAAAATTGTGCACCCAAAGAGATTCGAACCAGCATCCTGCTGACGCCATTTGTTGTTGTTGTTTCTCACATTAGCTCTATAGTCCACAAAAAATGGGGAGCCCGTGGTCTCAAAACCCGGCACATACGACGCCGCGAGAAAACAAAAAACAAAAATAGGATACAAACCACTCGGAAAAAGAAAACAAAATGATCGAAAGAAAGAAAAGAACAGGTATCGCACCTACTGTTCGAGAAAAGAGCCCTCGGACGCTGATCAAAATAAAACAAAACA